CAGTCCGATGACGGTGCTGGTTGTAAATACGACAAATGCATATACAGAGTAAATTTACATAAAGCACACACACATATATACATACAAATGCGCACATAAAATGCCACATAAATTGAAAAAGTAGAACGTAGAGAAAAAAAAGGAAGAGGCGGCAATCGATGACTAATAATATACGTCAATTCATCCAGGGTTTAAGTGTCTATGTACCTGGATAAGATCCTTAATTTGTACATTGATAATAACATGACAATGATGCAATCTCTCGCATTCAGAATGTAAAAGAATAAGGAATGCGCACGCAGACACATACATACATTTTCATCAAAATAGATGATCCTCGTTTCTCATTTTTTTTCTCTCCTATGTTTCTCTTCTTCTTTGCCTTTGACTAGAGGGATTTGATTGACAAACGCATGCATTCAACAAAGAAAAGAGAAACAAGAGAAGATTGCTATGACTATATTCAATGCAAGAAATGCATGTGTCCCTTTTGTGACTACAATTGGCTTATGTTTTATCTCTCTTTGTAAGGTGCATCCATCCTTTAGAGCAATATGTCAAGAGAGATAGAAGAAGAAGAAAAAACACGAAGAAACACTAGAAAAGTCAATAAAATTTATTGCTTAGTTTGAAAGATGTTACGAACTACTGTCATATGGAAAAGAAAAAAGAAACAAGAAAAAAAAGTAATCGAGTTGGAATGAATAGGAAAAAAATGTATGTTACTATTTCCCATATTTTTTATTTGACTTATATGACTACTTATCGAGATGTGTGTGAGATGGTACACAACATAATTTTACCGGAAGACAAATGGGTTGACAATCTAAAACGGAATTATGCAACGGAGAGTTTGTGTTTTTTTAAGTACGATATAAATAGATGGAAAGACAATAATATATTGCATGATGCTTAAGACGACTTTGATATGTTACTTTTTTCTTTTCTTTTTTTTGAAGTAAAACTTTACATGTTCAATAGCCTTACAACATAAATGAAACTGAGAAGGACTAATCATTGTTATAAAAAAAAAATTCTAGTAAATGCGTTGATACTTATAGCGATATGTGATGATTTAATCTTGAAAGTGATGATAGAATCCATATTGATTCTACACTTTAGCTATCTTGTCCTAGATAGCAAAGAACAGCCTGATTAGCAAGTAATCATCACGATTTGTTTATAATAAAAAAAAACGTACGCATATGCAGAGAGCTAAGACTGATAATTAGAATGATCCATCATCATCAATCTCTCTCTCTCTCTCTCTCTTTCTCTTTTTTTGCTTAAAAAGAGAAGAAAAAAAAACATAAGTAAAGCTTTTGACCTTTTTTCTCTCTCTTTCTCTCTCTTTAATGTACGAAAAGATAAACTATCGTATAGATTTATACAATGATAGACTTTCTACTTTACTGAGATTTCCGCTAGGTAATTGTGCAATGTGTATCTTGCGAGCAAAGAAGCAAAACAGGCAAACACATGTAGACACTTGATCTCTTATCTTTTGCGCATTCATACCGGCGCCGATGGATTTAACCGGATGTGATAGATAGAAACACAGAGAGAGAGAGAGAAAGACATTCGATGTTGTTTACAGATCGACGCACTAATTGGCACGCACAAGCATGCCATACTCTCTCACTAGAGAGATAGTTAAATAGATGGATAGCCGATCGAATGTGATGCGATAAAGCCAGTGTTGCACAAACATACTTTTCTCTCTTTTTCCCCTTATCGCCTAAAGGCGGGAATGCATCGACATGGGGTGGAGCTCTACACCAGACTTTGATGATCATCTCATAAAGACCAATAAAAAGTCAAAAAAACAAAAAAGTCAAACATTTGTCAATGTTCTACAATACTTATCTGAATTGAAGGACAAATATAAAAGGAAAAAAAAAAGAAAAGACCCTAGAAATTTTATTAATTTTTATTTCTAATCAGTCATTACAAAGATCTACATGATAGAAAAAATGGACCTTGCACCTTTAGCAACTAAAATATAGCGTAATTGATGACCTCCAGATAAACATATAGCGTTCTCATAAAAATGGAAAACGCTTTTTCGACTAGAAAATGACATTTTCTTTTTACGACTACTAATTAGCAATGCATATATATATATGGCATGCCAGTTAATACGATTGAATATCATATAAGGTAATAAATTTAAATATTAATAAGTGAATGTACCTGAAACAAATCTTCAAAGATATGTTATATCAATGTTCTAAAAAATTGTATATTATGCAATTAAAATTCTTAACATGTTGTTTTATCTTTACAATTATAGAAATATTTATTCTGAAACATTTCGACAGGAAATTCATTGTATACTGATTATTCATTATTTTGTGGAAAATATTTATAGAAATGATATAATTAGAATAAATATATTAGTAAAAGAGTTTCTTTCTTGATAATAGGAGAAAAAAAGAAAAAAAGTCGAACATTGCTTTATATAAACGATTTCAACACAATATTCTCAACCTTGAGATAAAATCATAATTGCACATAACATAGTCACAATAGTTTTTTTTTTTCATATGAAGGTCGAATGAAAAATAAATTTGCAATTAGGATGAATTGTGAGCGGTATCTTTGTTAAATAGAGAAATCACATAAAGTCTTGAAGTAAAGAGAAAAAGTAACTATAAACATAGGCCATTTTTAAGTAATATTTTCTTTTCTCTTTTCTTTCCTTCTGTTGAAGAAGAAAAAAAAGAGAGAACTAATAAAAAAAAATGATGAAATTAATTCGTAAAAAGTGAAATAACATGAATTTCTATTTCAAAAAGAAAAATATCCTTGCCGAGAATAGAACTTGGACCTTGTCGTTGAAGGTGACTTTTTTTAACTGTTACATTATACGGACTCTATGACTTTCTGATTTTATGTTGTTCAAATTAATGTGATGTTCAGCTAGTAAGAATGCCAATGTCATATACATTAACCAAATTCAATCTTTATATATCAGATTAGGTTTTTTCTTTCTTTCTTTATTATATAATTAATAAAACAAGCACGTTTCCAAAGCAAATTAAATGTTTGCATATCAGTTATTTCCTTTTCACTAAAAGCAAGATTTCTAATTAGTTCTATTCATAATGAATTGAGAAATCATCTTTTTACATTAACATCCTGAAATAAATAAGCCTTATTTAAATATCAAAAGATTTTCTATAGACTTAATCGAAAATACATAAAAAATTTCATCTAGTATAGATAGAAAGATCAGCGAAAACTATTTAAAGAATTTATTATAAATAGAATTATTTCTTTCCTATAACTATACTTTATATTCACAGTATAAACCATCAATAGAACTCGATTTACATGTTTGAAAAAAAAAAAACAACGATTAATAAAGACAATTTACTTTATTCGAATAAATAGATTTAATCGTATATTTTGTCGATGATGATTTAGACATATTACTATTCTAATCATTATTATTGAATACTAACTAAACGAGAAGAAGCATAAAGTAGTTTATGTCTACAAATTTTACTCATGTAGCCTGTTGTTGTTATTAATAGCAATGAACTTTTGTTTCATATTCTAGTTGCAGATTAGTAATGTAACAATCAATTATAAATAATGATCAGGTATGAAAATTGCACTGTCAACACCAATAATGCCTATAAATAGCAAGAAAAGAATATTTATTGTATCTCATAATTAATGTCAGATAGACTTCCGATGAGAGTTTGATTAGACTTTTCAATTTTAAATTCAATTTATTGACTTCTAACATATCATTCAAAAATGTTCATATCAAAATCAAATTGATCCTTCTGAAAATTTCAATAATACAATGATAAAGAATATCTACATGACATGATAAACATACTCAAAAAATCGAACAGTTGTGACAAGTACACATTCGTTTTTTTATCAATATTATTATAATAATTTTATCTATGCTTGTATATGTGCGTTACTCCAGTACTTGAAATGAACAAAAAACAAATAACAGCTGATAAAAGATTTATTGTTACCATTTAGTTTGATGCTAGTTTCATTTCAAGAGTTATAACGCTTTTCTTGAAATCTCTAATTTCAGCCAATCGACCTGTGGTCATATGGAGGAGCAGCTCGGAAATGATAATCCAACATGTTAAGTCGAGCGTTGATATTTGTTTTTAAATTCAAACTAATTTGACACTATCATCTCAATATTTCTGAAATATTGAGGTAAGCATGTCAGATTAGTTCTAGCCTAAAAACAAATATCATCAATCTACTCAGCATAATGAATTACCTGTCTAGCCGCTATTCTAGTTGATCACAGATCAATTGGCTGAAATCAGAGGTCTGAAGAAAAGCCTTATTAATTCTTGAATGGATATGGCAAGGAATGTCAACCTTGCGTAGATCGAAAGAAAAGAACTTTCTCTATCAATTGGTTATATCACAAGTCTAAACGAAATGAAGATAATTTCAGAATATCATATTCAAAATTCTTCACCAAAGATTTACCTCATTGAAAAATTGTTGACCAATCAATTTTCGCTATATTTCAACGACCCGAGGTCATCTCACTTGAATGATGAAAACCACAAGTCTCTATTATGTTTCTATCGAATGTTATTAAAAAAGCATCGATCTGCCTTACATTTTGGCGTCGATAATAATAATAATAATACAAAATTACTATTCACTTGGCACATTCTATTTTTCACGAATCGATTAAAACTAAAGAGAAAAAGTTCATAGTCAAAACATTATTTTCTTTTCTTTTGGATAGATTTTGATCGACATCTATTTTATCAGTAGTACGTACAAATAATATATCTTCAAGACAAATCAAAACATTAACTATTTCTATTGATTTTCCATGGACGTCGAAATGATAGAATTTATCTCGTCCATTTAGAGAAAGAAACATTCTTATCGACATATTCATTCGTCTTCTTATATACTAAAAAGTAACTTACATTCAAGTAACCTTTTTCTTCGATATATACATTTTCTTAAATAATATTATTCAAGTACAAATGCCATCAAAGTCAACAAAAGATTCAAATGCTCCAAGAAAACCATTATCTGCTTATATGTTATTTTCGGCTGATGAACGACCGAAATTAAAAGCATCAGGTTTAGATAATTTTATTGAAATAAGTAAAGCATTAGGTGCTGCATGGAAACAAGCTGATTCAAAAGCAAAAGTCAATAAATATATATATTTGTACATATATTTTTTTTTAATATTTATATTAATATATTTTAGGCTCATTATGAAAAAGAACATGAACGAGAAAAAATTCGATATGAAAATGAATTAAAAGACTATGAAAAATCTGGTGAACCAGCTCCATCATCAAAATCAGCTCAAAAAAGTAATCCACCATCAAAAAGTACAACAACTAAATCTACAACAACAACATCAAAAAAGAATACGGCAGTTGTTAAAAATGAAAAAAATGAGAGTGATAATGATGAAGGCGACGAAGATGAAGATGAAAATGCGTCTGAAGAAGAAGAAGAGGAAGAAGAAAAACCAGCTCCACCAGTTAAAAATTCACGAAAGAAAAATTAATTCATAAACTTACTTGTGTATATGTAACAATTTCATTCTTCTATTTTATGAAAAATACATTATTTATTTGAAAAATAAACATATTCTAGCAAATTTTCTCTTCATTGAACAATTAAATAGATCTATAGAACTTTCTTAGGAGCTACTAAACAATCTTTAAATTAAAAGTCATTAATATAGATGTATATACAATATTATGACTCGATCAGTGTAAAAATGAATATAAATTGAAAAATCAAAGCATTATCGTGTAATATAAACAGTAATTAGTGTCTATAATCAATCAATTGTTGTTTATAGTTCTATCAAAAAGTACTAGTATACTATCTTGCTTACGAATATGTTATACTCCCATGTGATTGAAATCGGCGATTTTATCCAGATTTGTTATAGAGATTCAACCACTTTAAAAAAAAAGAAAAGCGATTTTTCACGATTTTCTATATGACATTTACGATGATCCGATCTAGACGTAGTGCTCGACTCTAGGATTACGAATGTATCTCGACAGATACACGATCGTCTTTTATCATCGTACCGATAAACAGTTCCCATGAATACGGGAAACGATAATTCTGTGCTTTCCCTGTGCCATAATTAATAAAACAAATTACTTTTTTTTTTACATCATAATAATTACTGCTCCTTTTAGGCTTCAGATCGATCTAAATAAAAAACAGATTTTTTCCTCTAAATACATAATACTTGTCGTTTGTTTTAACATTGACATTTATCTAAATAAAAGAAAAAATATATAATGTTTATTTATAAATACTTACTGATCAGGTTAGAGTCGTGCATAGAGTCAGTTTGAAGTCAACTAAATTTTTTATCTAAAATTCAGTTTTCTGATATTTACTATACAAACAGATGCATTTCGGAGATTCCAATAATGTCTTATCAAGTTCTATGAACATGAAAGAAAATTGAAGTTGAACTTGACTGCGACTTCGTTTCGCATCCGAATGCCTCTATAAGACATTGCTGAGATCTCTAAAATTGATCTATGCAAATCCAAATGAGCTATGAATACTCTTAAAAGAGTTCATACGATTAACTTAACGAAAGTAGTCTCAGATCTTTTGACTTTCTTCGATTCTGAAATAAGAACATCAAATCTACTGCTTTATATGAGAGATATAAAAGCCATTCTATTATCATAGTTGTATTTTAGGATAGTAGTAGTGATAGAGTCTGTCTCTATGTGAAGTTTTAAGTCAAAATTCGAAAATCATTTTTTCTGTTATCACAGCATTTATTTGAAAAAGATCATAAAAGTGCAGCAATAAACTAAGGACGCGAACTCTTTTATGATTATTCGTAGTTCATTTGAGTTGCATAGTATCGATTCAAAAGCGATTTTCCAGTTGGAGAACTTTTCTCGTGAGTCTGATAGTCGTTCAGAACATGCGAGAAAATTTTTGTTGATTGTTCGTATTTTGCTATTGACACACACCTCAGACAATCTCGACAACGATCTTTTAATAATAATCAATTAATCCGACTGGTTCTAGACTTTACCGACTACTACTATCATAAACAAACAGATTATTTTGCCTAAAATAATTTTAAAAATAGAGATGAGAATTAGTTTCATTGTCACTTAAGGAACATGATTTCTGATGATAGGAAATATAGTTTTTATTTTCTAATAACTGTCTTATTTATCTTAAACTGAAATTTGACATAATACAAAAACGAAATGCTATAAAAATAAAACAATGAACGTCATTTTAAATAAATTGATGATCTATCAAAAAAGTATGACAAATTTAGAATAGAAAATATTTCGCTGAAACAAGTAAGACAAGTCCATACGAATCATTCCGAAGATCTTGAATACACAAATAAATCTATTATATTTATATTCATTATTCTTCATATTTTGTTCAAGAAAATCAAGTATGTTTCTTGTAACCCTTGTATTAATTTTAAAAAGAAAGCAACTTTTCATCTTGCTTATGCTTTCAAATAAGTTTATATTATATTTATTAAAAAAGAACAAAAGAAACAACCATTCCCATGATTTCGTTATGTAGAATATAATATGCAATCAATTATACAGAGATGAAAAAAAAAAAATTACAGTCACGATAAAAAAGGCGAATATTCATCGTGAAACCAACATTTATGTTTTAAAAATGAAATAATTAATGTCCGAAGTTCATCTGGATAATTTACTAGTAATTTTGAAAATATTTCACTTGAAATATTTGTATTACTTGTTAATAAATGAGAAAAACATGCTTGAATAAGAGATGAAACTAATTTTGGTTTTGATTCAATATCAATTATATCAGTTGTTATTCCATTTATGAATTGTTCAAGAATATAATGAACTAATCGATATGGTAAATAATCAAGTAGATATTTATCACTTAAATGAAATAAGTCTATTGTACGATTTAATTGTATTACTTCATTATTATTTGTTAATAAATTAATTAAATGTACGAATGATTCAATAGGTATTGTTTCAGGTAAATGAATTGGAATAATTGTTCGATTACGTTCAGAAAAAGAACCATTGAATAATGTTTTAAAATAATCGGAATGCAAACATAATAGATGAGTGTTAACAGTAATCAATTGTTTGTTATTAATATTCAATTCAATATTTCTTGTTTGTGTTATTGTTGGAGTTTGAGAATGTATTTGTAATTCATTGAGACTAAAAAAAAGCGAAAGAAAGACTGTCATACTTTTTCTATCAATTTTATAATCATAATATTGTCGTTATGCTAGTAGAAATATAGTACTAGACAAAAGTAGTCGCGTTTCAAAAACTAAATGTAGCTCTATACATCTACTTCAGTATCACCAAAGCTTATGTCATCATACTAAAAGCCCGTATTTGTTCTTCAACAGAAAATATCTCACTTATTTCAAAGTGATTTCTAATAAAGTTCGAACAAGAGATAGCTACAACATTGGTCATTCAAATGAAGAGTACGATAGAAATATTCATGACAACATCGTCGATGCAATGTGGTCATAAAAAGAAGATGATGTCTGAATGATAACTCCAGTACACGTTAAATCAATTGAGAGCGAGTTCGTGCTTGCGATCAGGATTAATTGTCGCATGCGCATGTACCCAGAATATCAGCTCAATATCGTAAAGAATATTAACAGTTCATGGAATGCGACTAGTTCTGTGCAAGACTATACATCGAACGAATATTCTAGAATAAATGAGCATCTTAGTATTTTATTAATCTCTTCATTACTTTCACTTTGAATATTTTACTACGACTCCTTGTTCAATTCTCTAAAAAAAATATAAAAAATGTTTTCAGGATAAAAACTAATAAGCATATATTTTGTGCTGAAGGATTACACAATGCTGAAGTGACGAATTTTTGTAATAGAATTTTGTTTTCTCTCTCTCTGAATAGATATGCATCTAGTCATGATTATCGTAGTTTTCAAGTGTACTCTTTCTTGCCATCTTTTGTTAAGATTGTTTGAAAAGCATGGGAATGTATGCATGTCGAAGGTTTTCATAAAGCAATGTAAAATCACTGAAGTTCTTATTTTCCCTTTAATACTTCTTGTTTACGAAACTTAAATTTCGTACTAGACTGTTGTTTAGTCTTTACCATTTGTTTTCAGAACAATGACAATATTGGAAAACAAATATCTTAGTATAGAACATCAATTTTGTATTGTAGTCTTGGAAATGTCTGCATAAGAAAAAGATCTAATTGCATGTCAATCAAAGTGTGCAAATAAAAATCGATGTAATATTTAAAAAGAAGTTTTCAAGTGCCTTTGAATGGATGACTACGTTTGTTTGTTGCATAGGAAAAAGCTAAGATGACGAAAGAAAACGATAGAATAATAGTACGAAATATGTTATATACATGTGTTACAATTAGAATAGTTGATCGATGGTTTTTATATTAAAAAGTTTTATATACGTTTGTAGAGAATTGAACAAGAAATCTTTTGGTAAAGAATCGAAGTTAAAGTACTCGTTAACTACCGTCGGTACCGATCTGAAAAATTTCGATCAGTTCGAACCGGCCAGTGTATTGGTTTTACTGTTCTACCGATAATCAGGGCTCTAACCAGGAGGGTACGAATAAAAAGCTCTTTTGCGAAGCAAAAATTTACTTTTCTGCTGGTGTGCATCTCTCTTGGAAAGTTCCTAGCTACTTCTTCGTCGGTAAGAATTGATCTATAACTCGTAGAGTAGCGAGTCTAAAATTCGTATCAGTATCGGTTTCGTCTATGATTCTTATGCTGCATGAATAGTAAAATCACTCATGAGGTGTTTTATACTTATTCACAGACACTGAGAATAACACTCATATATTCTCTATAATCCAGAATACATTTCAAAGTCTTTTGTAAAATTAATTTTTGCAATAACAAAAGACATTAATCGATGCTTATGTCTTTAATGACAAGAGTTAACATAGATGTTACTACTAAACTTTGAGAAATGTTCTTGAAATAATAAGAACATCTTTATTATATTCTATTATTTTTATTCTTCAAAGATTCCACTAATAGTTTATTTTTCACTTAAACACATTTACTTACAATTCATTGATATATGTGCGATTAGTTGATGAAATACATCGATGAACAAGTGTACGAAAAGCCCAAAAACAAACACGTTCATCATTTGATTGATCAATTAAATAATTATAACCTGAACTCTGTTGAAATAGAATTGACATCAAATGATGTTCTCTAAAAAAAATTAAAACAATTTTTTTATGTATACATAAAAATTCTATTTCTTCGTTTTTTTTTCATTACTTCAATGTTGCAATTAAAGTTAACATAAAATGAAATTTTTCATCAATATTTGTATCATTTAATCGTCGTATTATTTCATTAATTGCATATGGTGTATTAATATGATTTTCAATATTTTTTACTAATGTATATTTAATAGTTTTTAAACGATTTTCTTCATTTGTCCATGATAAACGTTGAAAAAAAGCTCGATTATCATTAAGAAGAATATTTAATAAATATTGATCATCAGTATTTATATCATAATTATAATCATGTGAATAAATATTTGAATGAAAATTTAATTCGATTAAATGTGGTAAACCAAGATCAATTAAATATTCAGTATAATCAATCATTTTTGTTAAACGATAAATAATTCTTACAGCACGTGGATTTGGTTCATCACATAAACAAATATAACGAAGAAGTAATGAAACAAGACGACGATTATATAAAAATCGTCTTAAAGTTTTATCAGTTGTTTCATAAGATAATTTCGATAATAATGTAAATATTAATGCTTCAGTACGACGACGAATTTCTATATTTGTATTTGTTGAAGCAATTTGACCTGATGTTGATGATGATGTATGACGTTCATCATCCAGATGAGTATTTTCAACAAATTCAGTAAACAAAGTTTCATTAAACTCTATCGTTACAGGCATCCGTTGTTGTTGTTGAGTGTCAGTCTATAAATTTAAGAATGAATAGATTACATAATCATGTGTCTTTGTTATGATACAGAATAGTAATTTGAAAATATATCCTTTCCTCAAATTATCTTAAACTGTTCGGGATATCGCCATTTCGTTTTTAGTCATTTTGTGTTATCAAAGAAGGGACAAACTATTCATCTCAAAACCTTTACTATAGATAGAGTACATCGAATAAGGCGGTACGCGTTTGAGAAAATAAATTTCAAACAACATTTTTTCGAAAGATCAAACACATCGAGTCTGCTAGCGATCTCCTTTTGATTTTTTCTGAGCAGACTGAAATTTTCACTGTAGATACTCGGAGAAATCCTCCAGACGTGTAATCGATTGTTTTTGGCCTTCCTATCCAAGTCTTTACATATTTGTTTCATACAAAAAGAAAACGAGATTTTTTTAAAGCTGAAAATCACTTCTGACGAGAGAAAGCCCTCAATTGATAAATCGCTTTTGAGTCGAGACTATGTGACCCGAACAAGCTATGAATATTCAGAAAAGAGTTCGTGCTCTTAACTTATTGCTAGCGAGCTACTGTACTTTTATGGTGTTTTGTTGAATGATTGTCGTGATAATAGAAAAACTGAGTTTTGAATTTCGAATTTAAACTTCTCATAGACACAGACCTTATTACTACTCCTATTCTAAGATACCACTTTGGTAAAAAGCGTCTCTTTTACATCGATCATGTAAGCCAGCAGATTTGATGTTTTTATTTCATGATAGAAGGAAATAAAAAAATCTGCAACTATTCTTGTTAAGGTCTGTCTCTATGCAAAGTTACCACCTGAAATTTGAAAGTTAGTTTTGCTGTTACTACGACTTTCATGTAACAAATATCATAAAAGCGCAGTATTTCCGTTTCGATAAGGTAAGGGAACGAACTCTTTTTAGGGTATTCATCGCTCATTTACGTCACATACTATCAACTCAAAAGCGATTTAGCAGTTAGAGCAGTTGTATTTTTTAGTTTTCTTCTTCATGGTAATAGCTATGAAGAATTTGAAAAAAAAACATTTGATTAGCTAAAAGGATTCTCTATCAGACTTGATCGACCTAAAAATACCAAGAAAACTATTTGAATTTGGTGGAACAAAATGAGATGTTTCGACTCTCTCCATTAAACTGCATCCAACTTATAAAAAGTTCCTATTTCGATGAAGATAGCCAAGGCATCGAATTTTGCTCTATCAAATGGAATCATTTCCAAAAACCTTTAAATCAATACCAGAAATCCTCATCCAAGCAATTTTATGGAAATTTGTAGAGCCAAACAGCCTGATACGGAATTCTTTTAGCTATCCCACTGTTTCTTTTTTAATTCTTCGTAGCTATTACTATCGAGAGAAAACCTCAAAAATACAACTGCTCTAAAATTTTGTTTCCTAACAACAAATCCTAAGATATCTCGAAAAAAAATTTCAGTCCGATCAAATAACTGTAGAGGAAAATCCTGTTTAAAACTTTTTCTTCGAACATGTGTCTTCTTATTTACGTTTCTCTGTTTTTGGTAACAATTTCAGGCAGATCGGTTGTACTCTCTTCAAAAATTAGAAATCCCCAAACAAGATGTTATAAGTATCCTAATATTTAAATTGGAAAGTTCTATGCATTAATCTACAGAAACTTTGACTTTTTCTATTGTTCATACAAATAAGATATTCTTAATACAAAAATTATTTCAAATGCCAGTTGATAAGAAAAACAATTTTCGAATATCTCAGCAAAACAAACATAAACGAGAGCGTCCTATCAAAATGACCTTGTGATATATTTCAAAAAACAAAAAAAAAGAATGACTTGAAAAATATATTTTTTGTTTCATACCGTATGTTTTGTTTTTCGTCTTTTTCTTGAATTTTCTTCATCGTCTCCTAATGATCGCTTTTCATTATTTTCATATTTAGTCATAACAACTGATTCTAATAAATCACACATTCGTTCAATAAATTGCATTTGTTTAAGAAATATAATTAATGATTGTTCATCATATATAAATTGACCAATAGCTGTTAATAAAAGATCCAAAAAATTTGAACGATATTGATATTTTTCTAAATAATTAAAAAAGATTTCTAATTTATTCATATCATCTTTAATTAAACGACGATTATGAGTTTCTTGACAACAAACACAAAATAAACCAATACATTTTAAATGTTCATATGTTGATTGATATTGATGATTATGAATCATATTTAATAAGAAATCTAAACCATTACGCAAACCAAATTCAGTACGCATATCACTATAACGTAATAAATTATTAAGAAGACGAAATGCTATATGACGATATTCTTTATCAGATTTGCCTTCCATTGTTGTTATTAAAAAACGAAATATTTCACCTTCACGTAACTAAATAAACGAAAAAGAAATAATTTTTTTAAAATCTATTCATTATGAAAACAACAAAGATTAGTTTTTGTGATTATTACTTGTGAACGGCTTCTATCTGAGCTATCAATATCCCATTCTAAGACAGCTTTCATTGCTTCTTTACGTAAAGCAACTTTTTCAGCAAATAACTGTTTACATATGGATAATAAACACATGGAATCAAGCATTCGATCTCGACAAAATGCATATGTACTTAATTTTCTATTATAGAAAAAAACAAAAATTATAATATTTATTTTTTTCTTAAATAAAATAATATTTACCTTGAGCATCGAATTGTTGAATGTAAACATGCAGCATCTGTACAAATTCGTAATACATTTCCCATAGATCGTGTTAAATCTAAAAAAAAAAAAGAATGATATTTGAAGAAAATATAAATGATAACATTTCACAATCATACCAGCTTCGATCATTTTTCGTGCAGCATCTTCAACAGTACATATATTGCCCAACAATCGAAAACATCGATTTGTTATATCTATTTGACTAATATCGACGACTTTACGACAAACTATATCGATTAGATTAGTTTCGAATATCTATTATATAAAAGAAATATATTGATTGAAATAAAATTTATCATTCATATTAGAGAGTTTCTATTAGTTTTGTAATAAGATGAAATGATAATGAATACTGTTTTTTAATCATTGGATAATATTAATATTTTACTCTTTTATGTTCAAAGAAGAGATATATCCTTCTTCTGACATATCATTGAAAGTATTACCTATTTATTCTAGGTTGATCTCTAGTTCAGTATGCGATAGACTTTAAACATAAAATGAAAAATGAAAAATGAACTTTTCTTAATTGATTTAGCATTTACATAAAAAATATCAATAGTAAAAATATTCAGTTAGATAAATATAGAACTAGTTTAATCTTAATTCCTGAAGAATGTTTGTTTTGCGCTATAAAAGTCCTGTTGATACATATATGAAGAAACTCTCTCTGCCATTGACTATATATCAAATTTTTGTGAAAAACTTCAAATCTAAACAAAATAAATTGACTGAACTATCGTCAAAACACTTAGACGGTAATTTCAATAAAAGAATCATAATTGCGTAAGTACGACGAAAATTAATCGAAAAGTTTTCACAATAGAAATTTAAAAAAAAAATAATATACCTGTTCATGTGATGCTTGCTCACACGCGATATTAGCAAATATACTGAGAACTGTTGATTGAATAGATAAATTTTCAATTAATAAATAATCTAATAATATACTAAATAAATCATCATGTATACGCATATATAACCAAGCATTAGTTCGTGTTGATAATGGTTTAAAATGTTCAAGTGAATTTTTTTGTTGTTCAATTGATTGAGATGTAACTGAGGAACGTAAACGATCAATAGCATTTTTATATAAATCAAATGATGATATTAATGTACGAGCTGAATCAATATATTCATCATCATCATTATTTGCATTATCATTATTATCTTCTTCACTTGATGTAAATCGTGGTGGACTAAATGGTGGTGGTGATATAGACATATTTCTGTACTTCTAAAATAAGATATGTAATTTTTACAATATGTATACTACTGAACGAAAATACAATTAGTACAACTCACTTATGAGCAACTACACCGTGTTGTTAATAAATGAAATGTTATCAAGAGAAAAATAATGGTTTTTATATAAATAAGAAAAAACGGAATATTTTATTTATTTTAATTTTACATCGTATGTATATATTTCCAATAATTAACAGTTCACTACAGAGGAGTCCATGTTGAATTTTATTGGTTAATACAATAGCTAATAAACTATTGTCAAATAATGATTCATCGGAATCATGCATTGAACTCCTATGAGATGTCTTCAATATTAAGAACTTCAAACGTTATTTCTACACTTTATCAATCATGTTCACCCTTATATTCATCGTATTGCATACAAAGACTTCTTTGTGTGATAAGGGTAGTACTTACACTGTAGAAATGTCCTCTGTACAGTCCTCCTAAATTAAAAATTTCAACTGAATCAACTCTATGGTCTTATGACGAATGTCATGATACGCACGAAGAAGAGCAATAATCATTACTTTCATTTTATCCTTTTCTTTTCTTTATTAGATGCACATGATAGTGACGATTAATTCAGACAAATATTGCTCAAGCTTAGCCAGATTTATTGCGAAGGATTATTTTTTTTTATAAACGAAACGCGGATAATACTAGTATTGTCTTTGTTTTGATTTGATCATTTCTTTTCTATGGTTTGTCCTTTTTTATACAGTACAACATATGAATAGATAATTTGTCAATGGAAACGAGGATTATATTTATATTTGGTTTTAGATTTCTATTAGAAACCCTGTTCTTAAGTCCAAAATGGCCATAAGTTAAACTGTGAAAATACAATGTCATTTCGTCGAAATACAATCACGACTCGATCGGTTAGTGCTGGTCGACATCGACAACCCAGATTTCATCCTAATAATTCTCATACTGATTTACCACCAAGAAAAGACTCATTACCAAATGTTTTGCCAGAAGTAAATAGATAAAAACTAAATGATTTTAAAAATATTGTCTATCATATTTTTTTTCATTTAGTTGACAAAAATTGTTCGAAAATTATTACCACGTTTGTATTTTAATTGCTTTTAAAAGTTAGAAAAACACAATAATTATCGAACTTTTCATTTATTTAGAAGAAATTCCATTAAATATGCATGTGCGAAATGTTGAATATATAGAAAATGGTTGTGAACGTTTAAATGGAACTTTATATATGACAGTATTTCGACTTGTGTTTGCACCAGATAATGAAATAGCAACAAATAATAATGTAAGCATAATTCTTTTGATTTCATAGACGTTGATCCATGTAAAAAAAAAACGACTCAAAATTAGATTATAATCTGATTTTTTGGGCGCGTATTTTTACATGACGATTGTCCTTTATTTTCAATCGCTTTTTGGCTGAAAGCTAGTGAATTTTAAATTATCGACTATGCTGATTCTAAATGTAATCATGAGATATTCCGTTAGACTTTCATTTTTGATTATTCAACTTAACAAACATATTGCCAATATTGTTTCTGATCTGTTCAGATTATAGAACATATCGAATAGTCTATGAGTTAATAATCTTTTGCTTTTCAAAACTGAATTTTAAGTACAATAATATCATCTTGAAGATTTTCACATTGAAATATAGATATGTATGTGTTGAGAGTAAAAAATAATTTTTAATAAAAAGTTAGGGAAGTCTAAAAACTGATTTCCTAGAAAATTAGTGTATGAAGGCCTAAGGAGATTTTTCATGGTCATATTAGAAATGATCATGATCGATAATATGAAATTTATTACCTATCGGAGAGAAAGGCGTTGATTAGTTGAAAACGTTCTCTCGTTAGTCCGACAGTAGAAATCGATAAACATGAAATATCTATTAATTGAATGTAATGCCATTTTTATTAGAGATGTATCTGATAAAACCTCTTATCAATACTGTCAGAGATAAAAGGTCAAAGACGTTGAGTAGTTTCGTTTGATTCCGATAGAAGGCTTTATATTGATATTAGACGATGATTTGTTAATGAATGAAATCGAAAGAGATCACTTTTTGAGAAAACTACATATCTATCTATTTTGTATTGTCTACAATACACAATTTCAGAACTCTCCTAGAATACTTTCATTGTATGTGGAAGAATATTTGCATTACGAAAACTCGTCAAAGCTAAATTTATTGATTATTCTGTGCAAGGCTAGAAAGGCAAACTTATTCAATATGTACAGAATTACCTGCTGAATTATCTCAACAAATTCACACATTCAATTAAGACAAGAGAAAACTTTATCAAATAAATCTTACTTTGTTTTCAATTAGTCTTAGGAGGTTCGAACTTCAGTAGTATCGCTCAAGTCAACGAATACTTTATGGAACATATGGAATAACTAATGTTTAACATATCAGTAGAGCTCATCGGGTTCAAAATTTTCGGATCCGGAGCAATCCTTCGAGGTCTACATGCCAGTCACTTCAGTTATAGAATCTTTCGTCACTCATCTGTCGATTTCAAAAAAAAATACTTGCCATTGCACCATTTGATTTACCGTAACATGATTAATTTAATATTCAATGTCTTTCTTTTTAGATTCTCTCTGAAAATAAATATATTGGCGAATATGACATTCCATTAACGTCCATTTATAAAGTAGATGCTGCTCGTAAGTATATAACATATATACTTTTAAGATGAACCGGTTAATAAATTTGTTTTCTTTCAAAGCGGTTAATTCTCGATCAGGTTTTAGATCATTTTTAAATGAAAATCAAATTCAATCAGAAACAAGAACATTTACCATTATAACTCGAGTATATATATATTTTCTTTTTTTTTACTTAGTTTAATTATTTATATTTCAATTTAAAAGGATTTTCGAAACATAACATTTTCCAAATGTTTAGTTACAAAATCAAATTCAATTAATAATAGACCAGAAGTATCTACATCAAAAATGGAAACCGTAAATTTTAGTTTAGATTTTGAATATTGTAATCTGTCTTATTCTTTTTCTTATAGTATATTGATGCATTAAAAGTTCATTGTCGTTTTCAAAATAAACAACAATTATATCCATATCTTGCTATGCAAGAAACTTCAGTAAATAATCTATCTCCTAAATTTCAATATGATCATCAAATACCATCAATAGTAGTTTCATCCAGTGGACGATCAATGAATGATGATACTGCTGGTAAATAATTGTTATACATATAACTATTTGCTATTAAATTTTATGATATTTTTTTTTATTCTGTCTTTATCTTATTTAGATTTTTGTATAAGTAATGATGAACGTATTAAAGGTTACATGATTTATCGAGATTGGTATGATGAATTGAAGGATGCTAATGAAACACGATGGATTGTTGATTCAACAAAATTTGATGAAGAATGTATTGTAAAAAAGTATGACATTGAAAAATTTTTATTTGCTCATTTGCTTAGTTTTTTAAATACTAGAGAAGGTCCATTTGTGCGTTTTTCAAATGTCAATGAAAATGATGATTGTAAAGATTTTGTAAGATTTACTTTTCGTTTATCTTTGTTTATCTATTTTATTTAAAAAAAAAAAGATTTGGCATTGGACTCATACATCTCAAGTTGAAATTGATCATCTTCATCAACATAATAGAGAACCAACACAATATATGCTTGTTACTGTACCAGACATAGGAGATGTTATTTCAGTTGCAGATCCGTAAGTTGATATTAAGAATATTTGTTTTTAATGTGAAGTATTTACTATGGAGAAGGAAAACGAAATTTTTTATTTAATTTTCAACAGTGATGAATTTCCGAAAAGTTTACCGAAAGTATCATCATCGTCTCGTTTTTTGAATCTATCAAAAAGATTCCCGAAAAATTTGCGTTCAAATCCTAATGATGGTTCACCAATGCAATCTACCAATGAACTTAAAACACCAACTAGTAGATTAATGGTGGCATCATCGAAATCGCCCAATTTTGGGTGAGATACATACACATGCTCGGTAACCATTGCTATGTTCTAAATATTGCATGTATATGTTTCGTTGCTTTTGTCTTGGCAATGGATTATAACTTGACGGGTCATAATAAATGGCTGCTTTTTAGATATCATATTTTCATCGCTTAATACGCTTTACTAAAAAAAACAAAAGGCACCGACAAAAATCTCTACAGCTTACATAGTAATGTTTTGTTTTATAAAGCAACAAGGATCAAAATTCTGTTCAGTTAATTTTCGGCGATGCGAGCATGATCATTTTTTGACAAATGATCAATTTGCTCCTTTACCTTATCGTTTGAAGAAAATATTCTATTCACTGATGGAATATACATTTCATTCGAACATGTTTATACTATTAGTCGATAGGACACAGATAGATGAGAAAACATAAATTACAAAGCTAAATATTCAAAAATCTATCATGGCGTGATAAGGTATTGTCAAATTGGTCTCACATTTCCAATTATATTCGTATCTGATGAAATATTATTACATGAAAATTATATTCAACTTGTTCTGTGACATACCCAATTTGAAGATAAAAGGCTGTTGGTTAGAGCCCGTCGAGTCCAAAATTTTCGTGCTTGAATGCAGTTAACGGAACCTAGATCCGAAAATTGTGGACTCGGCGGGATCTAATCATCAGAGAAGTGGGTAGGGTGCGCTAGTTATTGGATACAAAATATCGGAAAAAAAGTTAGGAGTATCTCAACATTTTTTGGACAAAATATTTGATTATATTTTAGTACATGAGAGTTTTAGTTAATCCTCTAAAAAATAACAGACTTGTGACAAAGGGTCATTTTGCACTAAAAAGGTAGAAATCAGAGATATAGCCATTTTTCTTACAGTAGACTTTCTAAAAGGCTTTACTGCACTTCAAGAATTTTCAAAAAATTTTATTCAAATATACCACTTGGTAGAGAATTACTTACTGTACCTACCAATATATTCGATAAAGCTTTTTGCCATACCTCCAAAAAGTTCCATTTGAGATTTTTTTCTCCAAAAAGAGTTTTTTTTTAAAGTTTTTTCAAGATTCATTTATAGGTCAGTCGTCAAAAATCACAGAAAATTTCTAAACATATATATGTTGAAAGAACACTAAATTCTAATTCTATTACACTACTTCCCACTATTCTACACTGCATTTAAATATAGTTAAATATTTGGTGTAGAAATTCTCAGCCCATCCCTTATCTCGTATCTTCGAAGCGACTATCCAATTCTGATTAGAAAATTTAATTGAGATTATAAAAGTGCGTTTTAATCGAGTCCTAAAATATTGGATCGCATAGACTCGCCTGCTATTGATCAACAATTTTATTGATCAATAAAACAACATGATGTCTTATAAACATCAGAAACATTGATGTGGTTCATAGAGTATATCATGCATTTCATAGACAAACACATATGGTCAACAAATTATTGTGATCTCAACATTTTGAATTATTATGCATTGAACACTATTGCTAATTATACATCATAGAATAAAGTTAACAACCATGATTCTTTAATTGTTGAAATAACAAAAGAAGTTCACTACTTACCCAAAAATTGATTGAACAGAATTCTGTTTTTTGTTTTATATGAAACAAAATCTTTTCTTTGAAAAATTTATTACATGATAAGAAGATGACATACAAAAAACGACCATGCATTATGCATCATGCATCACATAAACAAATATTGTTTTATTTTTTATTTTAAAGACTCTATATTTTAGTTTACGTCGTAATGCAACTGATTCGAATTTAATGTATTCTGCTCATCATGCATATGAACAATCATTTCAACGTTATAATCTAGCAAAGTTTCCATGTAATTTAAAACGTTTACAAGCCAGTTATGAAAAATTAATTGAAATATGTATAATAACTTGTGGTAAAAAGAAAGAAATTTTATTGATTATGATTTCTATCAATGAGTTTTATTTTTGTAGAAGATGATGATGATAAATGGTTGAGTAAATTAGATGCATGTAAATGGTTTAAATATATTTCAAAAGCTTTACATGGTGCTGCATCATTAGCTAAATTACTTAATTATACAAATATCGCATTATCAGGTATGAAAATATTTAATCAAATCTTTTCAAACATAGGCATTTCAATTTCAATTTTCTTATTGCTCATGTGATAGAAGTAAAATCTCCTTAAATAAAGTCAGAAATAAAGCTCAATTTAGGTGATTCAATTTATCTTCATAAAAACCAAAGTTTTTGTGATTTTTATCAGGTTCAAGCATAGCAAAGGAATAGTACTACCCAGTCAGACAAAAATTTTGAAAAACGCGTTTAAACGCACAATCGGGAACCGCGATTGTAAGCCATTAACGCTCATTAAAAAAACGCACGAAAACGCGTTTATTGGCGTTTTTTGTAACTT